AAATGCTGCCTGGGAGCAACGAGGGGGAAAGAGCAACGAGGGGGAAAGAGCAGAGTTCAGAGGACAGTCCTGGGGGGGCGGTGCAGAAGCAGCGAGGAGGAGGAGGGGATGTTCCTGGTGTCGCTTTGTCCCCTTTGGCCTGGTCTAAAGGGCTTTTTGGCTTCCCCGCAGTTTCAGTCGCATCAGATCTTCCACGTGCTGGTGGTGGCCGCGGCCTTCGTCCACTTCTACGGGGTGTCGAACCTGCAGGAGTTTCGCTACGGACTCGAAGGGGGGTGCACAGACGACTCTCTCCTCTGAGAGCGCCTGATTTTAGTACAAGCTTCCTAAGTGCTTTTTAAACTCTGTCTTTGCTAAAATCAAAGGAAGACTCAAAACTGGTTGGGGTTGTTGGTTGTGGTTTGGTTTGTTTGATTTGGGGTTGGTTTTTTTTTTTTTTTTTAAGGAAAAAAAAAAAAAAAAAAACCACAAACGGAAAAATTCTTTAGCAAAGTTGTCGACCAAATCCTTACCCCTTTCCCCACGCACCTCGCTGGGGCTGAGGGGAGGTGCACCGGGCCCCGGCAGCCAGCCCTGCCGCGCTCTCGCCTCCTCCAGACGGTGTTTTAGCCGCACCGGGGTCGCCCGCCCTTCCCAGGCATGCCGGGTTCCAGAGGGTGCGGGTACCCCGCTCCCGGCCCAGCCCAGCACCCCCTTCCCGAGCTCACCGCCGGAGCGAGCGGAATCACGCACTACCGGGGCCAGAGATTCCTGCATATCCCTCGCAGCAGAGCCGCCTTGCTGGGGGGGCAGCTCTGCGGCCCCCACTGCTGCTGCCCAGGGCACAGGCACAGATTCGTGTAACTTAAGTTTTAATCGTCTTTTTCTTTTTTTTTTTTGTTCGTTTGTTTGTTTTCCTTGACAAAGTAATGTAAACAGAAATGAGAGAATATTTAATATTTAATACTAAGCTTTAAAAAGACTTGCTGCCACCGCAGTGTACTCGGCTCCCTCGCTGTCTGTGGTAGTAAAGGAAGGACAGTGTTGTAGGGGAATGTAGAGCTGCTGTAGCTGATTGAAATAAAAAGGTCAATAGTTCAGTGTCGTGCTGGTGGTGTCTGCCTCGTTTTTTTGGGGGTGGGCGCAGAGGAGAAGCTGCTCAGGGTGTTGGCTGCTGCTGGGGAGGGGGCTCTGAGCACCCCCCAGGAGCGTCTCCCCTCGAGGGCTGCGCCCATGGGGGCAGCGGGATCTTTCCAGCCCCAACGGCCGGAAAAACCCCCATGAAACTCCTGGGTGTTGCAGGGATGACAGGGCAGGAAACCCTTCCCCGGCTGGGCAGTACGGGGTGGGATGGGCCGAGCTCTGAGCAACCCCTGGGCTCAGCGAGGGTGAGGAGCAGCGACCTGAGCGGGTGTGGGGAGGGACGAACGACGCCTAAATAGAATCACAGAACAGTTTCGGCTGGAAGAGACCTTCAAGATCGAGTCCAACCTTGGTCCTGGCTCTAAACACCACAAACCATGTCCCTAAGCACAACATCGACCTGTCACTTCAACACCTCCAGGGATGGTGACCCCGCCCCCTCCCTGGGCAGCCTGTCCCCGCGCCTGACAACCCCT